CCCGGTCCGTCTCCTCCGCCACACTTTGACTTATTTCCACCCTGCCGACAGTGGGACTTATATTCATTGTGCCGACAGTGGCTTGGAAAACCGCCCATAACTGTGTCACACGGGGAGGAGGGAAGGCGGCTGGAGTTCCTCCAACATTTGCAGTTAGATTATCATATTTTTTCGTTGACAAAAATATAGGTTGCTTCAGCTGATTTTTTTATGCGTGCATGTGCCCCTAAATATTTTTTACAGTTCGCACACATCTATTTTTAGTCGCAAATGTGAGTGAAACGCTCACACTGTCAAGCGCTGTAAGGAGAAGAGAAAGCATAGATAGACGGACAGTACTGACTTTTTCAATGTAACTTTTTTCCGTCTGGTAGACATAAGGGCCTCTAGTTTCGCAGACCGGGCGAGGCGGAGGCGCAGTGCACCTGCACTTCGCCAACTGGGTGTGGCCAGGCGGATTTTGCAAGTTTGGCACACCGTGCACCTGGCGCAGCTACTCCTCTTTCCCACCTCCGTCCCCCCTACCTGCGCAAGTCGGAAAGAGGGACGAGAGAAGGCGTCAAATGAGCCCCTCTCCTCGCCCTTTAATGTGCCGCGCGAAGGCGTAATGAGAGTTTACTCAATTCGCCATGGCAGAAGAGAGCAGCAGCATCAGGCAGCCAAACTTCTCCCAAGAGGAAACTGATGTTTTGGTCTGGGAGGTCCAAGCTCGCAGTATCAGAATATACAGAACTGCGAACTGACCTCCACGGGCTGATGATGCAAAGGTAGCCTGAGAGGAGGTCACCACAATTGTAAATCAATGTTGCATTTCTCTTGTGCGCGCGCGTGCGCTCTCTCTTTCTCTCTCGCAGTCTCACTCTGTTTCTTTTCTTTTGACTTTTCTAAGATGACAGATGCTGAATATATACTCCCTATCTGATGCTGTGGCTGTTTGTGGTTGGCTGAGAGGGATGTGAACTCATTAGTTTGCAGCTGTGTTAATCAAATCAGGTTGGGTCTCCATTACGTGTGCCAAACATGGCAAACGGTGCCAATCCCCTTTGATCTGACATCAGATGTGACAGGACAGTCGATAGAGAGATACATTTATGTGCTGATTGCAGATAGTTGCATTGAATAGTGGTTTTTGTGGGTATTTATTGCATTGTTAATGTGCCTCACATTTTGGAAACCTGCCTGTGAGTTTTTGGTGACGTGTGCGCACTGTCCGCCGGTCAGCCAAACTTCCACTTACACTGGCTGCGCTCCGCCCGCGCTGACAGTAGATCTGGTTTCAGCTGGCAAGCTTTCAGCACACCTCGGTCTGCCAAACTACCAAACTGAGCGTGCCTCGGGTTGCGCTGCTCGAAATTAGCTCTGCACGGGGTTCCCCACCCTGCGCCACGCCGGGAAACTAGAGACCAAGGTGTTAAAATAATTCTAATAATGTTTTTAGCTCACTACAGGCATTTTGTTAGCATTTCAGCCCTTGGTTGCATATTGTGGTGCTGATAGTGTTCCCCTCTCATGGGCATTGTTTTCAGAGTATACACATTGCACACTGTCTCTATAACCATTTCTAACAAGATGTTAATTTTCCCATTCTTCATTAATTTAAAGGGATCATTCAACATTTTGAGAAATAAGCTTATTGATGTTGATAACAGTCTCATGTTTGTGTCTAAACTGTCACACATGTCAACATAAAAAATAAAATATTCACTCGTAATAGATGCCATTTAAATGATTATATTATATATTAATTATATAATGGTATTTTTCCATGTTTAATTTAGTTACTGCCATTTTACGCTTTCTTTTAGGAATTTTATACACAATCAGTCAAGGTAGACATGACATCTAAAAGCAGGTCGACAAAATGAAAATGCTGCAACACAGGGTTGTGTGATCTAAAAAAATTTCAGGATTGTCAGACTGTATTGTAAGCAGAGTTTATAATTCTGCACTGAATTGATGCCGTCCTTGCAACATAGGCTCTTACACTGTAGCCTGACATCATGCACACCCCAGAAATACTACAGGGTGCGGCGACTTCCTGTTTATTTTTGTAAATTAAAAACCATTTCCCTCAGTGGAAATTAACCTTTTATTAACTCTTATTTTACAGATAAGAAAAAATAAATTATGAAGACAATGAAGCCCCCCCAAAATATCATTTGAAGTCTTGTGTGTGATTTATCCTGGCTTCATATGAGTAGAGGAAAAGTACGCTAGCTGTTCTGCTTATTTAAGCAATGTAAAATGTTATAGACTCATGCTAATAATGATAGCATGTTATATATGTGGGGAAATGTTTGTCCATGTCCATGAACCTTGTGAATTATAATGGAGCAAAACTTTATACTTGTGTTTAATATTGTCACTAATAAATAATGTTTAAGGTATGCTTTAGGTGTGTTTGTTGTATTCAGAGGTGGACTGGGACAAAAAGTTGACCCTGGAATTTTGGCCTAGATCGGCTCACCCCAATTGATCACACAAATATCAGTCATATATATATAGTATATGATACAAAGGTGTAGGTTTCTTTCAACATTTGAGGGGACACGTAAAAAAGAGGCGTCCTTGGGCTCTTTTTTGAGCATCAAGCACTCCATTTCCTGCATTCAAGTGAATGCACCTGTTTGTGCCCCACACATGCACACACACTGACCTGCATTTATTTTCATGGGCATGACAACATCCATGTTACAAAGACTATCACATAAAATGGTCTGGCGATGCTGGCGACGCTGGTTCATGTAACCATAGTGACTCTCCCCTGCATGCCTGCTCACGATGAGAGAGGAGAGGGAGAGTTGAGACTGAGTTACTCTGAGAAGCGAGCACGCTGCTAAAAGGGTGTAAAAAGTCCAGGATAGAAGTACTTTTCTGAAAATACTTTGCTGACTTACAGTTTCTCCACGCCTCCCTTGTGTATTGTATTTTTTTGGGGGGGGGGGGGGGGGTTATTGTAAGCAAACTAGTACTGTCAGTAAAATTACACTTACCAAGTGAGTTACTCACATCTGGGAACACGATAAGATAACCAGTACAAAGTAAGTGTAACAGGTCAGCTCGAGCAGTCAGACGATCAGACAGGCTGGGCAAACAAAAGAAGTCCAACTTATTAGGAAAATGAAGGAGAACTGTAAAATTATTCTCCAAACTAACCATTGTGTAAACATCCCTCAGTTTACACACTCACTTCACTTCACACCAGATGAGATGAGAGATTATTTGCAACTTCGTTTTTCAGACAGATGAAATCAATAGCTGTGCTGTGCACTAACTGCTTTCACTGAACAAACCAGTGTGGACCTGGAACTCTCACAAACCTTCATTCATACAACTCTCCTCATTAATGGAAGATGGCTGGTACAACTTTTGCCCTAAATTGCCAGTACACTGAGAGCAGACAGTGATCAATGTTATGCCATACACTTAGATGTGTATGACAATGTGAAAGTAAGAGTGTGTTGATGTCAGGATTAGCCCGTCCTGACTCCAGAACAGCAGCTTTCAGACACAGCCCGCTTCTGTCTCCACCTCCTTTTTTCTGCTCAGCCTTCTGATCAACAAGATTGAGAGGGAAGGGGATGGACAAACATTCTATGTGTGTTTCTGTGTGTGCTTCTACGTGTGTGTTTCTGTGTGTGCAGTCTGTCTGTCTGCATGGTGTTGCATCATTCTGGCTGGGCTGAAAGGCTGCTATGATGTAACTGGAAGTAATACCTCGAGACTGACAGAGGGAGAGAGTGCATGAGATACTGAGAGGAGAGAGAGACAGGGATAGAGGTTGGGGGGGGGGGGGCAAGAATGAGAGAAAGCAGGAGAGGAGAATAGAGAAGAAGCAGAAAGGATAAATGAGAAAGACAAGAAAATAGGAGGAGGGCTGAAGCAGAATGGCTGTCTGGACATTTGTTTACTGAAGTGAATGCAGACACTGTCATCCACAGGTTCATTAAGCCCACCTGATGATTCCTCTTATAGCTGCCTTCAGTTTACTAAGAGTGGACAATTCCTTATAACAACTGGATGATCATTGTTTAAACTACTTTTTACATAGCTGGAATGTTTTTGATGCTTTATATCGTATGCATATGTTAGTTCCTAACACTTCCAAAGACAAAAAAATATACACAAAAAATTGTGCTTAATTATGAAAAAGTGGCCTTTCCAATTACATTAAAAAGACAGATGTTAGCAGGTGGTGTTGGCTTTTTTTTTTGTGCAGTGGAAAAGGGGCTATAGATGGTCTCTGTCTAGACCTCTAATCAGGCCCAAAAATTCAGGCCCGACCCTATGTGAACCCGCACAGTTTCCCAACCTGAGCCTGACAAACATTTATTACAAGCTAAGGGCTGATGTGTTTCCTCAAACTATTACTCCTTCTTCTCTTCTTTATTTCAGTAGTCTGTTGTCTCATGCGCAACAGATTCACCCCTTGGTGCATCTACTGCACAGCAATCCATTACGATGCAGCGCACAGATGATGATCACCACTTTTCACTGCATGTTACACATATCTCTCCCACTGCTGGAGAAGCAGAAGGAAACATTGCTGACCAAGTCACCTTCCAGTCTCTTCTCTCTCCTTCTTTCTCGTTTTCTCTCTCTCTCTCTCTCTCTCTCTCTCTCTCTCTCTCTCTCTCTCCCCCTCTCTCTCTCTGTCACATGCGTTCTCAATAAATAAGAGAATGCTCAATAATAAGGTATTACAGCCTGGCCCAACCCAAAGCTGGTGGGTTGGGTCCAGTTAGGGCCAGGCACAGAATCAGAGCTCCACCTCTGTCCCTCTCTGTCAAACTTAGAAGAACAAGAAGACTCTTGAGAGTGGTGCATGAATGACCTTTTGTTGTAGGTCAACCCAAAAGTTAACACATAATCATAACTTTTCTCATATAACAAATCTGAAGTGGGATTCCTTGGAGTTAAAGGTGATGAAAGGAGAATGTAATGTAAACTTCTCTGACATGTGTCCGCTCTAACTGCTTCTTGTCTCTGATTTTGCTCAGGTGTTCCCACACCAACGGAGGAGGTTCTGCACCACACACTGGGCATGCTGGTCCGTGAGCGGAAGATCTACCCAACACCAGACGGATATTTTATTGTAACCCCTCAGACTTACTTCATCACTCCGAGCCTAATCCGAACTAGCTCCAAGTGGTATCACTTAGATGAGCGATCGGCTGACCGTCACCAACAGCAGCAACATCAGAACCAACAGCAGCATCAGCAGACACAGTGCACCTCCCCTCTCTCTGGCACCATCACCCCGTCCACCTCCGGAGCCGTGAGAGAACGAACACACCCGAAGTCCAGCCAAAACCACAGCGGGGGAGGCGGAGGAGGTGGGGATTCTTTTTACAACAACAGTTACCGTGGAGACGATCCCCCTAGCCACCACACCACCCTGCAGCGTCGATCTCCCAAAGACCACCGGGAGACTTACTCATCCCCCCACTCCCCACAAACACCTCCTCAGCAAGCAGGAGGCAACACAGAAAAGAGTCGCAGCACCCTTGGGTTCCCCTTCAAGACGGATACGCTCACCAAGCACCGAGGTGGGGGAGGTGGGGGAGGAGGAGGAGGAGGAGGAGGGGGAGGAGGAGGAGGAGGAACTGGAGAGATAGAGAAACAAACAGGTGGAGGAAGTGGTACAGGAAGTCGGAAATTTGGTTTGAAGCTGTTCCGCCTGAGCTTTAAGAAGGACAAGGCCAAGCAGCTGGCCACCTTCTCCGCACAGTTCCCCCCTGAGGAGTGGCCGCTCCGTGATGAGGAGGCACCTAGCCAGCTGCCACGCCATGTAGAGATGGAGATCATCCGGAGAATCAACCCTGACCTCACTGTGGAGAACCTCGCCCGGCACACAGCTGTCATGAAGCGCCTCGAAGAAGAGCGTGCTCAGAGGAGTAAAGCGTCATCAGCCAATCAGAGCTCCAGGAGTAGGAGAAGTGGGGGTAGACACAGGAAGCAGTCTCAAACCAAACTCAGCCGCTCACATAGCAAGACGAGGGCGTCCCGCGGTGAGCCAAGTGACAGTTCTCACCTAGAGCTTGCGGACAGGGACTACAGAGCCTACTCATCCTCACTGGCCCGGTCACCGAGGGAACACGCCCTGGCCATGGAGCGGCAACGGGCCCGCCTTCACCTGGCACACAGCAATCCCAACATCCTCGACTCTTCCCACCTGCCTGTGACGCCAGAGTGGGATGTGTCTGGAGAGCTCGCCAAGCGGCGCACAGAAATGCCTTTCCCTGAGCCAAGCCATGGCCCCTCAGCCCACCACTCCAAAGTCCACCGCTCACACTCCCACACCCAGGAGAGGAAGTCCAGAAATGAACGCAGTGACAAGGCCAAGGAACGCTCCAGATCCATGGACAATTCTAAAGGACCTCTTGGAGCGGGTTTGATCGGACCACCTGATTATTATGACGATCGGAGCCGTTACTATACTGACGATGGCACCTTGCGAGCCAATCAGAGCTCTTCTCACTACTCTCGTGCCACGCCCCCCTCAGCTAAGCTGCCTGTGGATTCTCTGGGGTTGGATGGTGGCAGGAGTTTAGAGAAAAGTAAGAGCAGGGACAGCCTGCCAGCATACTCACCCAAACTACTGCCCACCGCCATCCCTCCTGATGATTACTTCCAGTGTGCCGGTTCCTCTGAGGCTGCTCTCACAGCAGCAAAACCGCTGGGAACTCTGGGCAAAAGTAGCCATGATGGATTAAAACTGGGCAGCACTGACAGGCAAACGGACAGACAGACTCCCCATACTATAGAAAATAAGGAGGACTTGTCAAAGGTGGGACCTAAGGGTGGCAGCTTGCCTCCAATACCCCTCTCTATCCCTGACCCTCCACTACCTAATGGACGACCTCCCCACAGTGCCTCCTCTGGTCAGGAGAAACGTAAGGAGATCTTTAGTAAAGACACACTCTTCAAACCTCCTCCCAGCCTCCCTTTGCCCGGCTACAGCTCCCTGAGAAAACCCCCAGCCCTCACCTCCTCTACTCTGTCCTCGTCCTGCGATGCACTTGATTCCCAGGAGGCCTTTGATGCTCCCAAACCTCTGGTGGCCACACCATCTGCTCCCCCACAGGGGGTTGAACCCACAACCAGTGCTGCAGAGGCCTCCTTTGACTACTACAATGTCTCAGATGACGATGAACTCGAGGAGGGGGGGAGTAAAAGTCGAGGAGAGGATGAAAAAACTGGAGGAGGTGTTGTTGGGATGGGAGGAGGTGGAGCAGGGACCATGCAGTGGCTGTTGGAGAGAGAGAAGGAGAGGGACCTACAGAGGAGGTTTGAAAGAACCCTCACCTTCCCTGGTGCTAAAGAGAACCTTCCAGAGCCCAGTCAGAACCAGCAGTCAGCCCACTCTGCTAGACTGGACAGTATGGACTCCAGCTCTGTCACTGTAGACAGTGGATTCAACTCACCACGGTGAGAACATGATTACACATACTGCATGCATATATAACTGATAGTTTCTGTTCCTGATACATTATGGGCACATTCTCATTTACCATTTATTGAATTCAACGGTTTGCATTATGGGGTTGTTAGCAAAAAGTTTTCATCCATTTCTCCTAAGTTTTGAGGTGAGATGATGTTTTAGTTGACTGACACAAGATAAAAGGAGTCATGTCCTTTCTTTGTCCAGTTGTAACAGTATTATCAGTAGTTTTTCACCAAACCAAATGTGGGTCAGTCCGTCTGAAATAAGACTCATGCCTACGTCTAAAGATAGCATTCAATACAATTTTATGAGTCTGAATCCAGTATCAGATTCCTTATTAAATCTAATTAGGTTTTGCCTTAAACAATTGGTAATATATAATTTTATTAGTAACTTTAACTCAAAGGCTGGGTAAAAATCATTCAGTCATTCATTATTCTCGATACAGCAGTTAACTCTATCGTGACCTGTGACAGGAGAGTTCTGCTGCTTACTAATTATCATATTCTGTGTCATAACTGACAGGTACAGTGTCATATGACAGTCATTTTGCATTTATCAGATGCAATATATAAACTGCAATTCATGGAGTTGTCAGCAGAAAGTAGCCATCGACAATGTCGTCGCCATAAGGGGGTTTACTTGATCTGCAATGGTGTTCAGGTGGGTGGAGCGCGTCAAGTAGCATCTACATGAATGCCAGGACCAAAGGTTTCCCAGCAGAACATTGCATTGTAACTAGATGATCAATGTTATTCACTTCACCTGTCAGTGGCTTTAATGTTTTGGCTGATCGGTGTGTATCTTTAGAGTGACAGTGATTTTTCTAATACAGCACCAATGTGCCTTTACCATCCCTAGAATGAAGAAACCTTATTTGTGTTCATTGCTGTGATGCTCTCAGCTCAGATACTAAATGTTATTGAAGCCAGCCAAATAGGCCTTTTGTTTTACCAGACACTGGTACAACCTCCACTACTGCTGTCCAGTGTGATCAGGAGAGATGCTCCACCGTTAGACTCACAAGTCAGTCTTTAGACGCTTTGCTTAACTAAAGACTGATGACTTTCTCCCTGATTTTGTGTTTAGATGGGCGGATACAATTTCAGAGTTTAAAAAAACTCCCTACGTTGCAGAACCAGTAGTAAATCTGCAGGGCGGTCCTTCGGTGGCTCGCTGAACTCTTGTGCTTGTAAACATAGTCCCACTAGAAACACGTGTAGCGGTACAAAATGGCTCAGTCGGGCTCGCAGAAAACTCCGTCAAAGTTCAGTGGATGTTTGTCGCGTTTGCGGCGACACATTCTCGCCAACTAAAAGAAACAAACATAATCTTTTACAAGGCCATGACTCATCCGTATGGCCAGACTATAGAGGGAATCACCTTGTTGTTTACAAATACTTCTGGGTAGAAAACCAGCAGAGCTTTTAGCTATATATATAGCCTATATATCACATTTTTCACATCACTGTATCACCGTTTAGACTAATGCGATGTTTGTAAAGTCTATAAACACAATGATTAAACAAACATTACTATTTCTGTGTGCACGTTTAGCTGGGCTAACCGTTAGCTGTTAGCCCTATTAGCCGTTAGCGGTGTCTGTAATAGGTAATAACTCATTAAACGGTCCGTGAAAAAAATATCTTTTCCAGCGGATATCTTAGTTACAACATGATTGAGCAAGCAAAGCAGTTTTGTTTTGCTGTGTGTGGTATTTATTCAGTTTTGGGAAATCACGATGTCTAGAAAGCATCAGTGGCTGCAGCTGACAGGGACAGCTAACACTAGCAGCAAAGCTAACATCTGGACGTCATCTGTTAAAAGCCTCCCGTTGTCGGATACGACATGAAACTATTCCAGATAGCTCAATAATGTTGTAACTAAGACATCCGCTGGAAAAAATATTTTCTTCACGGATGAGCACACGTTTGATAAAACGTTAAATCTCTCGGCATCCATTTTCAAGCTATCTGTGTGTTTGTTTCCTTGCAGACGAGAAAAGGGGGAGCGCACATTTCCGAGAAGGAGTGTCCTTTTCAAAAATGCAAGAGGCGTTGCTCTGTTGCCGGCCGTTTTCGCCGGTGTGTTAAACACACTTTAGAAAGGAGTGTCCCCAGACTATCAGAAGGCGGAGATCTCTGATTGTCTGGTGGCGAGACTACTCCACCGTGTGCTAGAATTTAACTTAACCATGACCAGGACACAGACGTGTTATTTCTGTCATTTGTCTAATAATGAAAATAAGATATTTTTAGATATTTTTTTATAAATCGATTTGCATTTGATCGAGTGAAATAAGTATTTGATCCTTTCGCAAAACAAGACTTAGTACTTGGTGGCGAAACCTGTGTTGGCAGTCACAGAGGTCAGGTCAGTCTCTTGATGCGGTGAAGTTGTCCTGTCCCCTTAGCAGAGAAACACCCCCAAAGCATAATGCATCCACCTCCATGCTTGACGGTGGGGATGGTGTTCTTGGGGTTATAGTCAGTATTCCTCCTCCTCCAAACACGACGAATTGAGTTGATGCCAAAGAGCTCGATTTTTGTCTCATCTGACCACAACATCCTCTCCTAGTCCTTCTCAGAATCATTCACATGTTCATTGGCAAACTCCAGAAGGGCCTGTACATGTGCTTTCTGGAGCAGGGGGGCCTAACAGGAGCTGCAGGATTTCAGTCCATTACGGCGTAGAGTGTTACCACTGGTTTTCTTGGTGACTGTGGTTAGTTGCTTTGAGATCATTAACAAGCTCCCATGTAGTTCTGGTCTGTTTGCTCACCGTTCTCATGATAATTGAAACCCCACGTGGCGAGATCTTGCGTGGAGCCTCAGACCAAGAAAGATTGACGGTTATTTTATGTTTCTTCCATTTGCGAATAATCGCACCAGCTGTTGTCACCCTCTCACCAAGCTACCTGGCGATTGCCTTGTAACCCATTCCAGCCTTGTGCAGGTCTACAGTCTTGTCCCTGACGTCTTTGGACAGCTCTTTGGTCTTGGCCATGGTGTTGATTGACTGCTGCTGTGTACAGGTGTCTTTTATAAAGGTAACGAACTGAGATAAGGAGTAGGCTTCTCTCTTAAAGGGAGAGGAGTAATTTGAGTGCCCTGTGGACACATAACTAGTCTGTGGGAGTCAGAAATCTTGCTGGTTGGTAGGGGATCAAATGCTTATTTCACTCGAGCAAATGCAAATCAATTTATAACTTTTTTCCAATGTGTTTTTCTGGATTTTTTAATTGATTATCTGTCTCTCACTGTTAAAATAAACCTACCATTAAAATTATAGACTGATCATTTATTTGTCAGTGGGCAAACTTACATCATCAGGGGATCAAATAATTATTTCCCTTACTGTAAGTGCTTTATAAAGTCCGCAGAGAAATGCACACAGTTCCTATTACTGTGCCTCTAAACAAGCCATCAGGATTTCTATAAATTTGTGATGTCACAACTATACAATATAGACATGTTTGCAATAGAAACATTCTAAAAGGGTCCATTTGTATTTCTTGTTGTCATCTTTTGCAGTATATGTGAATGAAATCAGCAGACAGGAAGCCAACATGGACCCAGGCTGTTGCCTAGCAATGTAATTCCAGAGAAACCTTCTATAGACCAAATGACCGTGACGTTGCGCTAACAGCAATAATCACTCATAAGTAGCAAACTGACAACTGAATACAATTGCAGAGATATGTAAAATCTGCAAACTTGTTGATTTATGTTTTCATTTTCAGATGTAGCTATAACATTTAAAGATATATAGTTAAACACAGTGGTTCAACCCATGTGATGTTTCTGCTGTGCTTATTTCAAGTACTGTGTTGCTTTTCTCACGTTTTTGATAAACCAAATCTACCGGTACAGAAGCTAAACAATGAACTGCTGTGGACGGGGCTGCAGCAAAGGTATTATGGTGACTTTAAGAAAATCCATATCAGTGTGAGTATGCTATATTTGAATATTTGCTCCACTTTACCTTACACACTAACTAATTGAGGCCGCAGTAGACCAGCAACTCTGTGTTTTGCTAAGTAAAATTAACATTTTTGTCAGAGGAGTCGGTGGCCTTGATATAACAGCTTCAGTTACCTGTCGGGGAAGACTGTCAGGTCCCAAGGTAAAGTGGTGAAAATTTTGTAAATATTTATACACTTTATTACTATTATACTTTATTTATTTATACACTTCAGCTATTTTTTTTTGGTTTGTTTGTTTTATGGGCTTTGTCTGCTCAGCGCTGTTTGTAATGTACATGAGGTGAGGATTTTCTACCTTGGAAATCATTGTAAATAAACATTGAGATTGGGTCCATAAAGAGCGTTTCAGACAGAGGGTGATTACAGGTATATTCAGGCAGACCAGTATGAAAAAAATAATGTGTTCTTTGTACATTAAATATGTTCTAATAGAAACCCAAAATACAAGTATGAACCTGAATATGAGCATAATATGGGACCTTTAAAGGTAAAACATGAGACTCCTGTGGTTCTTAATGTGAGACAGCTGGTCTACAGGTGTGCTGGACTGGACTGTAACTGGGGGAGAAATGAATAATATATTTATCATAATTATAGGTCAGGTTATTGAAGAAAAAGTAGTGATATTATTGACTATGTGTAAAACAAAAGAAAAAAAAACTTTTATGTAAGGAGAAGCAGGAATCACAAGCACAAGATGAATTGATCTACAATCCTCACCTCACTATCAGCATACAGAACTTCATATGTCTGTGTTCAACATAGACATATATGGACAAAGTTGGGACAGCGAGTCGGTCAAACATGTCACATCACTGCAACTTAATGTTCTGTTTGTTTGATAAATTGATCTTAAAATAATGGGACAAAATAAAGCCTGACACTGTTTAATTGGAATATTAGAAAATGTGACATCTTGTCATCAGTGTGATTTGACTCTGGATTCTTCAATGATGGCATTTTCCATCTTAGGATTTAGACATGATTCAAAGTTATGTCAGTTTTCCAAGCAAATTAACTGATAAGCCTAAATTATAGATTTCATGTAAATGAAAATTTAAGTGGGAGAATACAGGTCCCAAAATGGACATGAGGTGTGAGCTAGAGAAGACATATCACTAGCTAATTTTCCACCCAAATGTTACTTCACTTCAGTGTTAATTTTAATAACAACTGGGAATTCAGGTCAAGTCTCGGTCACTTACTGAGAATTGTAGTTGGTTTAAAGGCACGTTCTGGTCCGTTTTTTGTTTTGTGGGACTGATTGTTAGTTTTAGTCAGTGTTTTTGTCATCATTTTCTCTGACAGTTTTATACTGTAATGGATTTTGCTGAAGGATATTTCTCCTGTCTGCAAAAGTTCCAGTGAGAAGTATGCATACCTTAAACTGTTAAGTCATTTAGGCTCAGAATGTGTCACTGACTTACTGTTTTTCCATATCATACTATTATAAATGCCTCAAGCTATTTATATTACTGGTCTTATTGAAGTTTTGCTAAATTCAGCATTATGTTTTACTCACTATACCCAGTCCCCACAGCCTCTCTGTCCCACTATAACCAGTCCCCTCAGCCTCTTTGTCCCAGTATAGTGAAATGACCCAGAAGTATGTAAGACGTAGCCATAATAAGAGCTGTTTCACATTCCCTTATTATTTAGGAAAGGTGCTTCATTTATAATCTTCTTTAGCAAAGGATATACTGGACCATCCCTTACTATGGAAAGGAGATAATGCCAACCCACAATTCCTTGCATTTAAAGCAGTGCACCAGTTGGTTGTTATGCATCAGTTAAAGTTACGACTGAGCTACAGCAGCACGGCAAGCAGCATTAGCAGTGTCCCGGTACATAGCATTAGCAGTCTCCTCAGCTGTATCCCAGCAGCAGCGTTAGCAGCAGAGAAGCCGGACTTGCTAGAACGGTCCGCTGAAAAACCAAAGATCAAGAACGCGGAGACACAGCCCTGCCACAGCAGCCACCCGTGGGCAAACAAATCAGTCTCCAGCGTGCCGCTGTCCAGCAACCTTGAATCTGTAGGGGAGGGGGGGCGGACACGACTCGCGGCAGTATTTTGAATTTGAGTGCAGTAACCGTTTTGGCCACATTCTTACATACAGCGCCTTTAAGTTATTATTAGTATAGTCAGTATATGCTAATGATCAGATCAAGGGTCATTCTCCTATCTGAATGTAGCCTAAACATTTTTCAAAAGCATGTTTTATATCTCTATAGCTTCTTATATGCTCATTCTGTTATTATTCTTTATAGATTTAATGTTAACTATTTACTATTTTTTTTAATGCCTCAGTGAAAGTAGCTTATTTCATATGACTGTACGTCTGTAAATCTTAATGTACAAGCTCATAATCAGCGTCTTAACCATAAATGTTTAATTCAACACAGTGCAATACTTTGATAAAAAGTAGTTAAGTAAAAGTAAATTTACAGATTTTGCAAATACTCAAAAAAGAAAAAGTACACAAAATAATGACTCTGTTACAGTAAAAAGAGTAAATGTAATTCGTTACCACCCCTATTGTTAACAAGTAGTTTTTCCCCAAGCTGCTGTGCTACAGTGATAAACTTTCTTATTTTATAATCATGGTTGACAAATACAACATAACATTTTTGAAGTAGGGATGTATGAGGTACTTATCTATAGTCAGTGTGTTACCTGTAGGCAATGTCGGTCGGCATGCCCCCACTTTGGAGAAGCAGGAAGGAGTCCAACATGGAAGCAAAGCAATGTACTGCTATGGATGAGTCAGCGACAAAATGTATTGTAGCTGCTAAAAAAATCAATATCAGTTTAAGTGTGCGCTACATTTAGAAGCTTTTCCCTGCTTTACTTTAATGTCAGACAGTGATTTCCCACGGATAACTGAAGCTGTTATAGCTCTCTCTTTAAAGCCAGACTTCATTGAGAAAAACAGTGATTTAACATTGCTGCACACAGGAGCTGCTGGACAACCGCTGCGTCAATGAGTTAGTTAGTTTGTGTTATTGTGTGACTTTGGCGTTTCAAAAGGTAAGTTCAGATTCACCAAAGTCACACAACAACACAAACTAACTAACTGACTGAGGCAGCAGTACACTGGGAGCTCTCGTATTGAGCAATGTTAAATTACTGTTTTTCTCAATGGAGTCTGGTGACTTTGACGAAAGCGTAGACGGGGAAAGGAAGACACTTACAGCTTTCTTGTCAAAACAGGCTGTCTGATTGAAAGGTAAAGCAGTGAAAATACTTTCAATATAGTGTACACTTAAACTGTTAAAGATTTTTTCTAGGTTGGACTTTTTTTAGGGGGCTAAAATTTGTTTTGCTGACATCTCCACAGTAGCATATTGCTTAGCTTCGGTTGTGGTGCTCCAGCCTGCTTCTCCAAACTGTGTATGTGGTGACTGATATCTAGTGTATGTAATATACTGTCTATGGATAATTACCTCATACAACCCCACTTCAAAAAATCCAAGCGATCCCTTTAATGTGAACACACTTACATAATTTTTAGACATAGTCAGGCAGGTTTTTTTGTTCATTCTTTATATGAATGTATGGACAAAGTTGGGACAGTGAATGAATTTATATACAGCTGGTCATTCAGTGCATATTCCTCTGTGACATGATGATGAACCAAAACCTGTACAAGAAAGTACAAAAATATTTAGTCTTGTTCTCTGTTGGAAGCTTCAAGCACCTCATCTGAAGTTGTGGTTGTTATGGTTTCTCATTGTGTGTCACTGTCTTTCTGCAGAACAAGGGAGAGCCTAGCGTCAAACACTTCTTCCATAGTGGAGAGTAACCGTCGGCAGAACCTGGCACTGAGCCCCGGCCACCTCGGCATCACTACAGGCAACGGCCCCCCCTTCTCCTTCCGCGCCATCCCAGAACCTGCCGGCACCCAACCGGAGAAACTCCAGAAGCCCAGCGCTTGCCTTGCGTCAATCACCAGCGTTTAGGGGCAGAACTAAGGGCTGGGTGGAGCGCCGAGAGCCAATGGAGTGAGGCCAGAAAATAAAAGTCCCACCCCTAAGGACTGTTACATCTTTAGACTGACTGAATCAGTGGAGCTGCCACAGGCCCACTGTGGAACTATAGCTATTAAAACACACACACACACACACACACACACACCCCTACACACACACTTGGACAGATACAAACAGCGAAATTTAGACTACCAGGAAACTGCTCTCTCTCACACATACACACACATATACACACCAGGCCACTGGGCAGACTCTGACCATGTCATTCTACAGCCTCTAGTTTACACACTGCTGTTGTGTTGTTTCACTTTCACGTGGGTTTTAGTGCGTGTGCAGTGTGTGTGTGTGTGTGTGTGTGTGTGTGTGTGTGTGTGTGTGTGTGTGTGTGGGTGGGTGTATGTTTGTATAATCTGTAATCTCAGGTCATGTTATTTCCACTCCCATTCCAGCTGCTCCAGATCAGCGCATCTCCCTCTGGTGGTGTCTCCTGGTATTACACACTGAAGAGATGCAGCTCTGCTGACTACTGTTACTGATGGTACACACACTCTCACTGATCCAGCTCCTACTCACTTTGTCTCTGTTAGTGTCTCTGTTCTAAATTCACCACAGGCAGACTAGTTGTAAGGTGCAGTGCCACAAGAAGTGACTATGATAATTAATACCCTTGACCATCACTCCAAAATGCATCAACAATGTGAGGGGGTCAGACAGTCGAATGAGTGACCTGTAAGCAGGACTGTTTCACTGTAACACTCTCTGTAGAATGAAGCTGAGCAGTTGTTGTATCTGTTGGATGCCATGATGCCCATTTAAAAATGCCTTAACACTTTAGCTCCAGGGATGATGACAGGGGTTTTTAATTACAGACTGTTCAGGCTGTCATGGTGACAGATCTTCTCCCACTTTTTCCTCTCTGTTTTTTGTTACCCCTCATGTCCACTGGATCTAACTGCGTCACGTTTCAGCGCTCTGGCATTCCAGCCAGTGCACCAGTGTCCACTGGAGACATGCTCTTTTCTCCGCTCCACTATCATAACAGACCGAAACAGTACACTGGCCCTGAGAGCTCAACACACTGCAAATAATGAAAACATGGGACAGTTCTTAGGGCCACCCTAGATAAGACTTTATTGATCCCTGAGGGGAAATTCTCATGGTACAGCAGTACAGAGACAGGCTGACAAGTTAACGCAGTGGTTCCCAACTGGTGGGTTGCGGGTTCATTTTGAATGGACCGCAAGTGACTCACGAATGTGTCAAGTTTGTAAAAAAAAAAAAAAAAAATCTTTATTTTGAAGTACAGTGAATTTGAAGTGAATGTTTCCTTCTGTAGAGTGAGTGAATGACAGCTACTTAACAAAGACAGCAAACTAGCTGGACAACATGGACAAACGCAAGTATGATGCTGAATATATCCATCTCTGTGGACCTTGACGTAATGACTAAGGAGAAATCTGGACCCCGCTGCTGGACCAGTCGGGAACCACTGGATTGGAGAACAGATAGAAAACTATTGAAAAAAATAAAACATAAGGTATTAAAAAAAATTAGAGAGGTGACTTTAAAAAGGAATATACAGTATATACATACCTTACACAATATAATTGAATTTATATATACAGTGTATAAACATCTATATTTATTAACAGTTGACATGAAATTACTTTACTTGCCTTCTTAGTGTTTCGGTACATATAGGTACATAACACTCACTCTCCAGGACCGCAAGTGTTACTTGAATAAGTAAACACGGACTAACAGGACCAGACTGGCTGACCCATATGCTCTCACTCAGTGGATGGATGACTTGACAGGATTGCCGAAAGTGGGATGGTCAGCTTTGTGGTTGATTACCGTGCCAATCTTACATAGGAGGATGACCCTTGAATGGTTTCATTTGATTTGTTTTGTTATTGAAGCTAATGTTAGCAAATGCGCAAAAAAGGTACCTTTACAGAGAAATCCAATATTACTCTTAATACCTACCCAATTTCTGATGAGGTGGACATGATAACCCCTAATGCACATAACATTACATTATTCGTACTTTTTCCCTAACCTGATATGAAGTGTGCGCTGCACATGTGAGCATTTTTAATGATGGCCTTTGTCCAGTTCTTTAGTCATATCACTTTTAACATAGTTGTCTTCATTTTTGTTGATGGGCAGTGGCAGCTGGTATGCGATGAAATTTAAGTTTCGAGCCATGACTCCTACTATTCTGGCTCCCAATAACACAACAAGACAACATTTTAAGACTCCTATGTAGCCTACAGCCCTGTGGTGGTGAATCGCGTTTTGCCTCCAGCTAACAAACTGACTTCATTGTGACGCTAGCCCTAAAAGGCTCTATAGCTAACCTGTTTGCTTATGGAGTCACTTCACAGTGGTGTTCAAATAGAAGCTGTTGAGATCCTGCATATGATGTCACAACCTGTAACATACCAGTAAGCAGAAACCGTTTTTTCTCTGTCCTGATAGCATGTAAATGTATTCATACTGACTGCTGGGGGAGCTAATCTCACATGACATAATATTTCCACTATGCCAGTCACAATACTAAACCCACAGTTCAATAAACATACGATTTATGGATATGAGTGATTAATAGCAGTGTGGTGGTGGAGATGCTGCATAGGAAGGGACTATTGTTGTGGTTACACTTTGCAGTGATTATGTTGATAATCACTGCAATGGCTTTCATTCTTCTAAAAGATAAGTGTAGACATGAAACAGATCATGTTTTTGGTTTAAAATGCTCAGTTTGGGGGACACAATCTCAGTAAAAAGCAACCGCTTTTTCATGGCACTATCCGCAGTGAAAGCATAGTAATGACTTGCTGAAATACAACCAGTTTGTTGATTGTTGGTCTCTAACAGTGGCCTGCAGCTTGGCAGGCATCTCGCCTAGATGACACACAATCCACCATCCCCTCCACCTCCTGATTACACGGTCAGATCATACACCACATCACATTAGAAACTTTAATATGATACATATGAAACGTGCAAATGTAATGTATTTGAGGTTTGCAGAAACATACAATGTCAACATTTTTTTCTGGTGACTGAACTGTCTGTTTTAAAGCCCATTTAACACTGCCTGTTTGAGGTGAGAATATTGCTCTGTTATGCTGCCTTGCCGTTCTGTATATAAGGTACAATCGGAGAATGGAGGAACAGAGTTGTCTCTCCTTTAAAGCCTAGTTCACATTACACGATTTTCACCGCGATGTTGACATCGCAGAGGATCTTGAGAGCCACCTTGGGTCGGAGGTGAGTCAGCAGATAGACTGCCCTCATGTGTGAACAAACCTCCGAGCCAGTTGCTCCCTCGTCTGAGACTGGGACTGGATATCTGGCATGCTAGAAAACTGGAGAGGTGTGACACGACTGACAAAGAGCATCTGCCAATGAGAGGCGGGATACGTCCCATGTCAGCACGCAGGAGGACGGAATAAACGTGAGGAGAACAAGCAGGCAAGCAACAGCAACAATAGCGGCATACAGAGGATCACATAGTGCCCGTTGTGTTTGGACCCAGGCTCTGGCGGCACATCTGATTCATTTATTTTTACTTCCACGCAATGTAAATAACCCACCTGTAGCCAGATAGCGCAGGGTCAAGGACAGACGTTCTCTAGGGGATATGGCAAGCCTAAATCTGGTGTCTTTCCTTGCGATGTACGGCTCTACCAGCCCCAGCAAGAAATCAGAGTCCTCCGCTGTCATCCGTAGCATTTCCCGAAAACCCGTTCGATCATTCAGCTATGAAAGGTACAATAATCTGGGTCAGAATACATGCATAGACCATATAGACAGTACAATGAAAGCTGTTAGGCTAGCAGCACAGTGGCAACCGAGTTTCATTCACAGAACTCACCTCCAACTCTCTCTGCAGAGTTGACAACCCGCGCGCTGCGTGCAGTGACCCATTCCTTTACCCAAATCCCTTTCTTCTTATCCTGTTTCTTCTCAGCGCAGAGCAGGGCACAAACGACCTGCAGAGCTCCAAGCTGTCGGACATCCATGTTGACAAATAGCGCTGGGGAACTATCCTGTTTTGGTCACGTGTGACAAAACGTAGTTTGGTGATGTCACCGCGTTATCTGGGGCTCTGTTGGCAAGGGCTTGGTAGTGAAATCTTGTGGTGTGCACACACAGGCTGTAACGCAGTTGGCGAGACTCCCGATGACAGAAACACACGTCGCCAGAGATGAACACTGAAAAGATCTCCGCAACTCAAGATTGGTCGGCCAGTCGTGTAATGTGAACAAGGCTTAAGTCACCATGGGAGGTAGTGACAGTGCCGAAACAGTGTCGGTATAAACAGGACAGCCAGCAGAACGGGATCATGGGTAGGACTGGTATGACATTTTGACGACATGTTACACGTGCAACCCGACGCAGAAGACTTAAAAAGCAGCTAATACCAGTTAGTGGGTAACTTAAAGAAGGAGAACAGCGACTGTAAGTTGGGGAAGCAATAAGATTCAGGAGCTCCTTACCCTCTGAGCAGAGGACGCGATCAGCCACTATACAACAGGGACGGTAAATTATTGTTATTGACATGTTAATGCCATTGTAATTGTTTAGAAAGTGCTGACGATGTGTATGTTATATGTCACATTAGAGGCTGACGTGTTAAATGTCACGCCTGTTGCGCCTCTTGATTCCCGCGATGTGGGATGCTGTCTATAATCACACACTGGAGAGGAATGATGCTGCAGTTGTTCTGTGTAAGAGTGCAAAAGCGGTACAAAGAAGGGACTCACAGAGGCTCCATAGCGCCATCTCTGTGTAAAAGGGCTTAAGCCATGCTCTGATCATATAAAGCCAGTAGCCTGTTGTAATGTTAGCCACTAAAGCTCACTAAGAGAGCTTGTTGTGTGATGGACCCATAGTGATATATACGAAAGGTGGAGACGTCAGCAGGCTCTAGTGATATTCATGATTTATTTATTTTTACTACCTTAGCAAACTGTGGTCAATGATGAGCTAAGGTTACATGTAGATACACACACAATCGAGCACCCTAACCCTAACCCTTAATGACTAATTCATGGAAAAATTGTGGATTAGCCATGGCTGCTTATGGATCTGCTGCTTTGCTTCTGCCCCTCAGTATGGCACTCAGCACTATGTTGCAATGTGACAGCATGACTTCAGTAAAACTTACTGACACAGAGAGCACACAGAAATTGAGAAACTCATTGGTTTTGTTTTTAGATGAACAGTTTTTTCTATTTAATTCTCATCCTCTGCATGTGATACTGAAGCCAAATGCAACATTAAGCATCTTTATGCAAAGCACCAGGCTTTCGAGTAACTCTTATGTAAACCTACCCGTGGCAATAGAGAATAGGATTGTGACATGAGCAGTAATGAGCAGCGCAAAGCATTGTGGGATTTTAGGACATGGAACCAACAGTAGAGACCGAGGACTAGTAGGCGATGCGGTTGAGTTTATATCTTATCCTGCTTGAAAATATGGTGGAATGGTGAACATTTGCTGCATTATCAATCAATCAATCAATCAACTTTATTTATAAAGCCCAATATCACAAATCACAATTTGCCTCACAGGGCTTTACAGCATACAACATCCCTCTGTCCTTTGGACCCTCACAGCGGATAAGGAAAAACTCCCCCCAAAAAAACCTTTAACGGGGAAAAAAAACGGTAGAAACCTCAGGAAGAGCAATGGTAGTCATGTTATCAACTACCATAACCGTTCTCACGACTAGAGTGGGAAACAGATCGCTAATGGAGTGCAATATTTCAGCTTTCTAGCTAGCACTGGACATTGTGCGCACTCCACTTGACCGCTGGAGCTGAGGATCACATGTGGCTTGAGCAGAAGTTCATTAAGGAGTTCAAGCCTAAGACATGAATATCA